AATAATTTGTTATAATCTTCATTTGTTTGAATTAAAAAATTGTATTATATGATATAAATCTCTTATTTCACTAGTAAATAAGACAATATATCTTGTATAATATTTAGAATATAAAAGCTGAATGAAAAAGAAGTGGATAAAAGTCTTATAGAATAATAAATCAACTTTTACTTAATTTTAACAAAGTTATATTAGTAGAATATGAAAAGAATTACAAGATAAATGGTCTTCTTTCTGCATTTCAGCTACAGTAAAATATAGTTCAAGCTGTATGTATTGGAGTTGCTTTTTATAACAGGAGATAGAACTAATTATGCTATTATACAGATCAGCAACTTGAACTATGTATATTGAAATATTACACAAGTATGGTATATCTATAATGAGATGCATATTTCTAAAAAATGATGATTGATTTCAGAAAGATAATGCCAAATCTCATAAAACAAAGGATGCAGTTGCATTTCATAGAAAAAGGATCTGCACATTCTTCAATCCAATTGAGAATTTATGGGCTGAGATGAAAAAAATCCTCAAAAAATGAAAGAAGAAACCAACCAATCTTGCAGAGCTTGATAAGTATGTCAAAGATGCATGGAAAAAGATCACAAAATGTATGTTTGAAAATTTAGTTGATAGTATGCCAACACGAATTCACATGGTGATTATGGCAGAAGGAGGTCCAACTAAGTACTAGTTATATAATACAAAATGTAGAGCATAATAAACTTAAAATAAAGTCTTATTAGTGGTTTAACGTTTTTTACTTTAAAAATTAAATTTTTATTGAGTAAAAATGCGTTCGGAAACTTTTGATAGCCCTCTGTATATATGAAAGAGATAAAAGAAATAAATTAAAAAAGCAGCAATGTAAAGCTGTAAGGTATTTTCAAGAAGCAGCCGATATGGATTTGCCTGAGGCTCAACTTCGTTATGATCATTGACTCTGTAAAGGCGAAGGAATGAATCATTAATCATTAAATATTTTGAGAAATCTGCGCATAATGGAAACTCAAACTCTGTGATTTTGTATTCTTTTACAATGGAAAGGGAGGAGTTCAAACATCATGAAATGGATTCAGTGAATTTAAAGAAATAGATACGATACCAGAATTTCAATATACATCTAGAAATGAACTAATTCCGCGAAAACTATAAATAGTATACAAGAAAACAAAAATCATAATTCAAACACAAAACCAAGGGAAATTGGCCTTGAGAATGATTTAGGTGAATTTAAAGAAGTGTAAATGAATTTAATACCAGAATTTCAGCCAACATAGAGAAGTGAGGAATTGAAAACTATAGCGATGCAATTGGACAAAATCGGATCCCTACAAACACATACAACAATGCTTATTTGCAGAGGTCAGTGGTACAACAGGCCCCGGCTCTACGTTGTACGACATTTGTACTTTTATTATTGTAATAAAGAAATGTCGGATTCTTTGATACATTGTATCTATTAATCACGCCTGTTATCACAAAGAATTAAATCATTAGGTTTCATGATAAATAAATCGATTCTAAAACAGATTCATGTTTATTTGCTATTATGATAAAACAATGCGGTCATCACGACGACGTTTAGGTGATTTCATTTTTACATTTGATAAATGCTTGGTCAAAGTTCAAATCCCCACTCCCAAAATCTCTAACCTCTCGATGCACAATATCCTGACAATAAAAAACTCAAAATTATGTAATAAAATAATCTTATTAAGAATGTCAGAGTTTTTGGTTAAGTCAGGATATTGGATATGTCGGCATTTCGGTAACGTCGTGATTTTAGGGAAGTCGGTATTTTGAACAGCACCCAAAAATAATAAATGTACTGTACTTTTTCAATGTGAGTATAGATTTTCGTATCGTATGCCTTATTGGCATGTTTGTGAAATTCCGTGCGCATTGCTGATGTAAATTTCAGTGTAATATGTTGCAAACTATTTTATGAGTTCTTCCGTTATATTTGCAATTAGTGTAAGTTACAAGCTCACATTAAAATTTAACTTTAGTTTCCTTTGCAGTATTATTTTAGAAGATGTATTTAGGTCATGCATGAGATTGATAATATCTGCAATTAGATTGAATCCTGATTTTACTTTTTCATGAATTATTCTTCGAGGATGAGGAAGCTGAAGATACAGAATTTTTTAGAAATATAAATTCAAACCCATGATTTTCTATATCGCTTCTAGAGTTGAATTGATAACCTATAGCCCGGATCTAAGCTTAATCTTTGAGTTACATTTCATGATAAGACACGATGTATTGCGCCTTCATGAAAGATTAAAATTTTTATTTTTATTACGGAGCAACGATTAAATCTTACATGAATCATTTACTTTTAGTCTGCTATTATTAAGTACAAGTTAAAAAAATTATTATAATTATTATACACAATTGTAGAATTTAAAAAGTTTTGTTCTTTATAAATATAAGCATCACTAACTCTATCATGAGTAAATAATGAAACATGAGATAAATCAAATATTAACTGCCATATAGTAATTGTTCAATTAGTAAAGTGTCCGATGACTTTCTATCATCGAGTGCATAATCTAAACTTTAATGAATTGGGTTATTAAGGCTGTATAAGCAACGAAAAAAGAAGATAATTACAACGAATACTAATAATGATAGATATCGAGTTTTATTATTTTTGATTTTACTGTCCAATTATCGTATCAACTTTATAAATGTTTATATTCATAATCCAATAAAAAGTTAAGGATATCGTAATCTCGCTTATTTGCAATCAAGACAAAAAGATTTGAGAACGATGTTTTGTGAAAATTATGCAACTAGTTATTTAAGATACGCATCAATTTTTGAAATAAAAGCTCACACAAATACACTAATTAATGAATATTCAGAAAAAAAAGTTTTTTATTCTATCTTGATAGCAGCTTGAGTCGATTTATATTGATCTAAGACATGCTTATTAGTTTTTGGAACTATCGTTATCATATTTTTGAGGATTTGTTTATGATATCATGAAATTCAAATTCAAAGCACATTTTGAATAGATCTTTGAATTAACGAGGCTAAATTATAAGGATTTTTAATCGAAATATCTTTACATTATGTGTTCATCTAATATAATCGGTTAATTCTATAAATTTTTAAGCAACTTAATCGATCGCTACGACGACAATGAATTTCTCTTGATTATCGTTATAGATTAGATTTGAGTACAATTTTATTTCCTAATTGAGAAGTTACGTAAAACAAAATTTTGTGTCTAACGATAGTGAAAATTCATTTACGTATAACGATAACGATAATGAACTTTAAAACATAGAGTTTAATAACCCACGCTCCCATGTTATAAGTTTACTATCTAAACTTTTATGTTATTATTATAATGTGATACGTTCGTCTGCTTAGTAAGTCTTTGTACGTGTATTGTGATAAATTAAATGTTTTTTTTACTATTTGTATCGTTATCTTTGAAATAAAGAATATATCTAGCTTTAACCATGTACGTATTGTGAGCTATTGTTATCAAATATGATCCATTGATAAAAATGTGTTAACGTTACATGACATTGTAATTTCTTGAAATACGTTCTTATAAAAATCCTTTTCTGATATCGAAATGGCACAAAACGATAGTGATGGCGTATTACTGTACATGTGTTTCACGTATAATACATGTGATTGAAATTCAACAATAGAATGCACAAAACAAAGACATATACATTACTGTGCATCCAAACATCTTAAATACCTTGACCAATGAATAATTGGATACGACCCGAAAATTGCATGTGTATGGTTTGACCGGCTGGTTATTCGTTGTACATGTAACACTAATCGTCTGAAGAATAAGTCCAGAAGGCACATCCGACAATACATGCGGAATCAAAATGTTTGATGATATTACATGTACAGTATATGCTATAGTATGCATTTAAGTCCCAAGCAAAAAATTGCATTTTAAGGAGTTATGCATTTAAAGGAGAGGCACTTAGAAGAGTATGACTGTACAATGACGAATGTTCTTACTTATGCAGCAATTCAAATACATGTATCAGCAAATAAACAACTTTATGTAAAATTTTGATTATCTAAATACATATACTGCATATGTACAATTATAATTATAATCACATGACTCAATAAATAGTGAATTACATGAATGTTTGAATAAAAATTTCTATCGATATCTAATGATTTAGTTCTAGTTTATATGACAAACAATTTATGTGCGAGTTGCGAGGCCAACTCTTGGTGTGGCTTCTGAACGGTCGAAGATTGCATAGACATTTCTAAATCCAACAAAGCAACAAAGTTAATGCATGTTCCGAAACAGAAAAAACAATCGATACTAACAAAATTTGATTGACTTACTTCATAAAAATGCCACCCAAAATCCAATAAGTCCCCGGCTGAATTTGAATCCCACCACCAGCAAAAATCGTACCAGGGACTGGATCCCATATCAGATCAGCAATCGGAATACCAAATTTCCGACCGGAAAACACGAAATAAATAATTAAAGACGGATCAGTGTTAACAGGTAATAACCATCCACCATAATTTGAATCATAGTATGCTCCAGGAATTTGTGAATAGACTGCAGAGCAAACGGCACTTGGCAGTAATATTATCGAGCCGCCTGTGTCAAGAATGGCATTTCCTGACATATTTATTGGAATCATGTTGCCTACTTGTATATTATCAGCTGTCACTTGCCAATAGGAGGATGGCTGGATGGCTGTTAAATACAAAATATCACCAGTATAATATGCGGGATTTATTCCTCCAAAAGAAATTTCTCCACCATTTAGATCACCACCGCTTGCTTCTTTAACATAAGCTACCGAGAATAAGTTCTGCATTAGCAGACTTCTATCGATCATGTTATCAAACAATGGTTTAATTCCTTTGACAGCTGTATTGGACGCGAATCCAAGAGCAACCAAACCATCAATTATATCCGACGCATAAAGTGATGTAGTTTGATTTGCGATACCAAATAATTGTCCGGGAACACGGATTCCGCCAACTCCATTAACTGCACCGATAAAAAATACATCTCGCGCCAAATAGCCACCGACCTTTCCGTTATCACCATAAGTTATGTTCCATTCACGACCGTCGTATTCATATGAGGCTGATTTGGTGTAGTCATATACATGGTGTGGGTTGGAGTCCAAGTTAGCACCTGGTCCAAAGACCCAAAGAGTTGATGATCCAGTGTCGAATGCAATATTAAATATTTGTGCTAGTTGAAAGAATAATTAATTTCTTCTGTGATTTTTATATGCATTAATAAATTACAATTTTACTTACGAGGCGTGCCAATATATATCTCACCATACCACTTTTACAATAAAAAATTAAAATTAAAAATTATTATTAATTCATTAAAATATGATTCGAGAAAGACAATATATTAAGATTACCTCTGAATCACTTTGATAATCAACTAAATTAACTGTTCCAACTTTTGATTTACTTGTGGTGGGAGCAGTGGGAGGAGCAGGAGGAACGGTAGGAGCGGGAGGAGCGGGACTCGTATTGAATTGTGTCGTTGTATCAGATTGCGGCTGTGTTTGTAACTTGTCACTCCCTAACGATTGGTATTTCGCAATTGCTCGGGCGGCGTGGTCACGTGCTATTCGCTTGAAATTTGGTTGCATTTTGAGTGGCACTTTATTTTTAATGTGTGAGAAAATTAATTGTTTATATTATTGGATTTTATCAAAAATTAAATTCAAAAATTTAAATTACTTACTTGTAAGAACTACGGGAGTTGTAGTGGTCGTAGCATCTCTACTTGGTTGGTTTGGTTTAGGCGAGCAGGATAATTTATTGAATATTCTTGTAATTTTTGTAATTCCTTGTCCACATATTTTTTTTGTCTTTGATAGTTTTGATGGTTTTGATGGTTTCTCATTATCCGTTTTCTCACTCTCCATTTTTTTATTCTTTAAATTTAAATTGACTTTTTGCCATCCTTCAAAGTCCAAGACTTAAATAGTTCGTTTGCTGTTGTGAAAAAAACGCCAACCTGTCTGAAAAAGGCAAAAAGCAACATACTATCGCACACGTCTAATGTGAGTGAGTGATATAAGCATAGTTACGATTGACATGCGTTTGTAACGGGGTTTACAATAGGATTACCCGTTACATCAATATCATCCTGGCTCGTTGACGTAAAAGAAACCGAAATACAAGCAAGGAAAACCATAACTAATAGAGGCCGAGTTAATGCAGGGACTTTTAACACCTTTAATAAATTAACAATTCTAATAAATGTAATAGGGTCGAAAATTTCTCTTACATGTAATTATAAATTCGCGCGCGCGTGTAATTGGCCAAAATTGATATTGGCTGATTTGACTTGCATAAATAAGAAACACATTCATTTTTTATTGGCCAAGAATTTCAACCAATAAAAAATGAATGTAGATCCGTTACGCGAGACAAAAATTAGCCATTATGCTCACCCCAAACAAAATGAATTATTCCCTAAGTTTTAAGGGTTGGATTTCCTTTTTTAATAATACCGATACGTTTCTTTGATAAAACTGTATACATACATGCATTTTATCACTAGATTATGCATTGTCCGTATATATCGAAAGTACGTAGTTCGTTTCCTAATTTTGATCATACCAAAAAGTTACACTTATGGGATATACATGTACATGTGCTTACATTGTACCGAAATTTTGAAACACACCGATTCTATGGCAGACATATTGTTACCATCAAATATGAATTGCTTCTTTGTAATGATCTTTACTGTCTTTTAACCTATTTTAGTTAATATCCAATAAACTTTTCCTTCTAGAATTTTAAATGCAGTAGCAATATGTTCAATTCTTGTGTATTCTGTCCAGCATCGAAAGATAACCTCACCGCAAAACGTCACGATCTCTTCACCATACAACATCCCTGCTTAGTATGACATCATTAGGACAGTCAGAACAACGAATGGGATAATACCGAACAGACCATTGTTATTTTCAGTTACTCCAACTAAAACGCCATTGGCATAAGGTCACTCGAGTTTGTTCTAACTTTGGATATGACGCAAATCTCGCATTCCATTAAGGAAAAGTCTTTCTCGAGCATTAAAGTTCTGAGCTTAGACAAATTCGTCTTATAAGAAAAGGAACAAACGATAGTGTACTTAAAACGGACAACAATATGAAATATCGAGTTTGGAATAGCATTTTTTACCCTGGCAATTCACACCATAGGTCTTAACCAATTCAATTCGACCTGTGTTTACTAACTTCAAATGCTCGTAAAAGCCGAAGCGCATGTCATAATAAATGGCATGATAATGCATGGTTCTTAATTTATGCTATAATGAGTGAATTTTGAACAAAAAAAGGCTATTATTGTCTGAAAGAAATGTTTCGTCATATTAATGTAAATACATGTAGCATAGTGGCCAATGTCACATTAAAATATTTCATGCTATAACTGATGTAATGTGGCTGTGCATATTTAACGAGAGGACCGTCTTTACTAATAATTGTTTTTAATGCTATTTGGTGATAATTTTCTTCCATATGGGCTGAATTGACCAACAAATGGATCTAGCTTGGTCCAATTTTGGTAATTTTTGATTAATAAGCCATTATGATACTCCAACACAAACAAACTTATTCAAAGAATGAGAATTTCTAAGCATTCGAATCTTTTCGTCAAAGAGATGAATTCTGCCTCATGTGCACGTGATTTGGCAGCATTTTGGGAAGATCGCAGTAACATCTTTTAAGCAGTGATTTGAGTGTCACCCATCTGACATTTGCTTATTCCAGTATCTATGAATGTATGCGCAGTCAAAAATAATTTTGGACTTGAGTCAATTAATTTGTCATTGCATACATGTATATGCTTATGATGTTCCTTTTGATTTTCAATGCAAGTTTAAATACAAGCAGATGGTTTTTCATTAATCAGACGATATGTAGACGACTTGCGTTAACCTTGTCTTCTGACAAGTAAGGGGTACTGCAAGTATTTTTAATGTAGTGCTCATCACCATAATGATTACGTCTGCAAAATCCATCAAGCCTCAAACCGATGACGAAGAAGAACTGTTGTTTGCCCTGTCTATGATAGTCAAATCCTCAATATTCTTTCTCAAGTAATAATGTTATCAATACTACTTGACCTATAAAAAATGTATTTGAAAATTTTTGTCCAAAACTGTGTTTTAATATCATTCACTTGATTCCTCTACCTTAACAGGATGTATGCGAGAAGATGCTTGTGATGTTGTCGCTGCATCATTGATGCAAGCATTCCTTCACGCAAACTTATCATAACCATTCTCTTGCATCGCGAAGCTGCTGTTTAGTGGAATCAGCTGCGTACGTAAACAATCTTTTATGTAAAATTTTGTTTATGAGTTCCAATTCATAAAAATTGCAAGTTTCATGGAAATGCATCATAACTTATAATTCGCTTATGAGATAGTTAGTTTTATACAATTTTATGTAGTTACTTTTGTTTCTTTAGCGATTACATGTATAATGTAACCAAAAGCTATAAATATCTTCAAAGATGACAGTTGTTCAATCTACTTTAACCTCAAACCTTAACATTGTATTTGTAGTATTTTTCTAAATATTTTATAAAATGGTCTCAACAAATTTTTTAATATAATTATAAAATGTTTAGATTCTGCAAAAAATTTTCTCAGGTTTTATTTATTATTCGCTGTGCGATATGCTCATCAAAAGAATTTAAGCGAAATCTGATGGATATAGTAAAAACTTCCGGTTATAGAAAAAGCACATTCGATAAAACATGATTGAAGATGCTGACTTGCTTCGCTCTAAGTGATGTATTAGCAAACTCGCTAATCACTCGACGACCAAATCTCCAACTTCATCACAACAATTAATTTCTGGCTTTATGCGCTGCATTTTCTTTCTAAGCACAAATGCTGTGGTTCCTTTTCTTCTCATTCTCATCGTCATGGGAAGGGAGCGCTTACATGATTCAGGTAGATTATCACATTTTTTGTAGGTAGTATAATTATGCTAAGCTAATAGAAGATGACAAGGACGCAGGAACTTGGAAATACTAATCTTCAAATCATTACTTATTGCAAGCACCTTCATCCTGTTCTCGTGCCAAACTCCAAATTCTGGTTATATAATCGCAGTTCACCCCGTAATCTGGATTTTTAGATGAAGCTAGTCCATGCATCTGTGCTCTCCCCATCTGGAAATTGGTTTTCAAATATCATATTTTAAAGCATTATATAAATATGGCGAAACGAATTTACAATTTTAGACCTAGATAGCCTAATTTTGAAAATAGAATACGTCAACTTGAAATCAGAGAGGATGAAAAACCTTTAAAAGGCATAAACATGAAGAAAGAAGTGATCTGTTTTAGCATTGAGAAAGAGCCAGAAACGAATATCCTATTGAATGTATGTAAACTTACCCAATATAAACAAATTTCAAGGCTGATGCATCAAGAAAAAAAGCAACAGTTAAAGCTAACATAAGAGAAAAAGCAGTGATCTTGGGTAAAACTGTCTCTCATAAATTTGATATTCGTATTTACAGACCCGTATCATCCGGTTTGAAATTATATGGTAAATTATATTCATGATTTTATAATTAAAACAGTTCTTGCATCTTAAGTCGTTCACATCTAGGAATCATTTTTTGAAAACTACAATGGATTAACTTTAAAATGGTATAAAAGTTAGAAATAATTACTAAAAGAAATATGAATTTATATATAGCTTGAAATTATAATTTTTCCATTACAATCAAAAAGGTCTTTGCACTTTAAGTTATCTGCAGCTGTGAATCATATGCCTAAAAATAATTCATGAGATATAAAATTTAGAAATAATTAAATAATTACTGGAAAAAACATGAATATGTATATAGGTTGAAAATTTCCATTTTTTATATGTTTTACTATATAATTTTGAACTGGGCGATAATTTTTGTGGGTACTGTACATGTACAATCATATGTTAGAAATACATGTATTTTATGCAAAATAAACAATTTAAATTATGTATCTTGTGAGATAAATCATCGTTAGCGTAAAAAGATTTCAAAAATAAAAATTTACAATTTGAAAACAATATAAAGTTTATATTACATTAATTATTGTAATCGTATTGCTCATCTCTATCAAAATTATCTCATATCAAACTACTTCGGTACTAAGAAATTATCCGATACCCTTTATTAACAAAATACAGTTACGTGTAATTGCAATTTGACATTTTAAACTAAGAGAATGTTACATAAAAAACGTTGCATTTTATCTATTTTATGTATTTAAGAATTTTGGTAAAAAATTTGATATTTTTTTAGGATTTAAAATAAGAAAAATAAATATATAGCTTTATTATATCCCCGTTATTTAAAAAAGAGTGTAACCGAAAGAAATCAGGGCTGAAATCCCAAAGAGTCTATATTCTTGCAAGATAACCCTTACAAAAAACAAATTTAAATTCTCTAAATATCTAACTTACCAAAATCACTCAGATTTTATTAAAATGCTTTGTAGAAATAAAGTTAAATTTAAGGAAATTCACATAATATTACAAATATTGGTATCAATGAGAAACTTGAACAAATTCACAATTATGAATCGCATTTCATTTCATTCATTTATGTTTGAGGTGATTATATGGCAAAGTAAATGCAAATCGACTACTTTACAATTTGAAAATCAAAAAAAATTTTTGATATTTGTTATCATAATCTTGATAATATTCGTCGGAACTGTCAACGACTTAATCAGAGGCAGTTAGACTTTTAGGAATGGAGAAAAATTGTCTTTGTATGATTGATTTTGTAATGATGATAAAATTTGTCACTAAAAGAAATAGCCACCAGACGCTTGCAATTAAGTTTAATCTGAATTGTGTTCTTTGTGAGATAAAAATCCATCTATATAAATTATTCACATA